GGTATTGAAGTGCTTAGAAGTATTTTCAATGTATTTCCACTCTTCATATGAATTTTAAAAGCTGAATATTATGATGGCTCTTAAACAGAATCTGATTTTTATTCTAGATTTTATTTCTTGTTATGGTGAGAATTTATGAGATCATTTTTATTAGATGGTTTGCGGATATATCTTGTGTGTGTGTGTGTATATATATATATATATATATATGAGAGAGAGAAGCTGCAAACATTTTGGGTTTTAATGTGGATTTCTTTTAAATATATATTCATTGAGTCTAGAAGAAACCACAACAGAATCCAGAAAGGATATTTGGGACTCATCAGCAATGCGCATCCACTACTGAGAATTGAAACCTGGACAGTTATGTTATCAGGCAAATGTCATACCAACTGTCCCAATGGGCTTCAGTGACGAAGAGGTAGCAAATTAGACTTGATATAGCGCCACTTGATCACATATTCCATGGTGGAACTTATCGGAGTTTCTCTTTTACCCATAGGACTGTGCCCCCACAAGCCATGACTACTATCCCCAAGCCGCTCCATCCAGAGCATTAGAAGCTGGTTCAAGCAGGGATATACAAGTGATAGAAATAATTAACTAATTTCTATTGTTCTTTCATGTTGAGACATATACTAGAGTTTATTTGACATTGTGTTTCTTTGGATTTTGCAGTTGGTCTAAAGGTATTTTTCTGCTAGTTCAGAACCTTTTTTTATTAATATTGTGGAATAGCCTCTTTTTTATGTAGTTCTTCTAGGCAGGTTTTTCAGGTGTCAGTCAGCCATTATAGTGCAAATTCTACATGCTAAGAAATAGGGGATGGATTTTAGACAGCTTTTTGGGTGATGGCTCTTGAAATGAAGATATTGTTGGGTGTCTGTAGGTTTGTGGTAGATATCTGTGATAACGTGGTTGTTTCTATTTCTAATGAGTATATCTATGGCAGTTCATTAAAATTATATTCTTCGGTGAATTTGATCTTTGGGTTTATATTTTGGAGTAGTGTGGAATTGGTTAATATTGCCCCATGAGGATTTTCAGAAAATGAAGCAATCATCTAAGTATCACTTCCAATATAAACAGAACAAATATATGGAGAGAATATAAAAACCAACTTCACTAAATCTTGGAAGCAATTTTTTTTTTTTTTTTTTCCTTTTTTAATAATTTTGTCTTTTACTACAGTTGTTATAAAAATTCTGGTATTAAACCAATTTAAATTGGCATCATTTACAATGGTCAAAGTAATTTTCTACTTAGAAGTTATAAAAACTTAATATATTATTTTATTTCTTTACAGATTCGACCCTTCAAATCAGCTCATGTCAATCGTGGCACTGACAGGGAGCTTTTAAAGTTGACCAAATATCTCAAGGCAATTGCTCCACTTGATGATTTTACTCACCTGAAACATTCACACTGGGAAAGGTAACCCTCCCTGTTACTTTCTGGCTTTAGACTTTTTGTTGTTGCATTAATTACCTGCACTAGACTGAATGTTTAATGAATTATTAAATGAATTAATATTCTTGTTTACTTACACATAGTAGGCAACCAGGAGGAAATACTTAAAAACATTGTTTTTTTTGTTTTTTTTCTGTTTCTCCTTCATTTGGCTGATTCGTATTTCAGACAAAAAAATTCAACTGAAAATCTGAATCAACAAAAATAAATATGAAGAAAGTTATTGAAAAGTTATGGTCAGTTGAAAATTGCAAAATATTTATCCTAAATGTCTGTTTTAAAATATCAAACAAATGAATTTGGTAATACAGAAGTGATATAGAAACTATGTGCCTGATTAATAACCCATAAATATTAGATCATTGCAACAGTTTGTGCCAAATTAAAAATATAATTTTACATACTCAAAAAAAAAAAAATTATTAGTCAGATATGTAGTCTCCATTGTTCTTAACAACATTCATCATTCTACAATCTTGCCATTTTTGTAGAAACTTAATGATTTTTTTGGAAGAAGGTTGTGAGGTAGTTTTCAACTGACTGTACAATTTTTTTTGTCATTTAAATTGTTCTGTAGAGACCAGAACAAATGAAAATCTTATGGAGCCAAGTCAGGAGAATATGGAGGGTGGGGGTCATATTTCAACTCTATAAGCTTCAGCAACGTCTGTTTTGCAACATCCAGTCTTGCATTGACATAGTGAAAAATGACATCTTTTTGATTTATCAAAATTGACTGTTTTTCTTGATCCCAAGACTCTTCAAATGGCAAAAGCAGTTGAGATATCGATTTTCAAAATCTTAGAAATCTCTTCTATCAAAATATTTGGTTTATTCTCCACAATAGCAAGCAGTGTCTCCATTGACGTTTGATGATTGTCTGGAGTGTGGTTGATTGTTTAGATAAAAATCACCATGAGAAATCTGCTGAACCACCTTTTGACTGTCTGAAGAGCAGGATCCAAATAAACCTTCTGAATGTTTTTTTTTTTTTTGTCGCAGTTCCAATGCTTACTTGTTTACAAAGTTCTTAGAGCACAATATGGCTTAAGTGGAATTTTTCATCCTCCATCTTTAAGGCAATCATTTGTGGACAAAACGTCAACATTCACAAAGTCTGACTTGCAACTGAACAATGCAAGGTTCCGATGTTGTGGGTCGTAGTAAAAAACACTGGTCTAGACCAATGTTTCTCAATGTAGGCCATAAGGCCCCAGGGGGATATTTCCAGGGACCACAAGGCCAAGTTTGAGAAATATGGGGAGTAGCGCAGAAAATTAAGGACTCACAAAAAATATATATATATGTGGAGTATTTTGTAATTAATAATTATTATTTAAAATAGAATTTTAAATTTATTATTAAGTTAAATATTTAATTAATCTAAACCATTTTCTTAACATAAATATTTATTGTAATTTTTTTCATCTGATCTATGCAAAATGGCCCTTTTTTAGTTTTCAATTTCTTAAAATTTAAAACATAATTTGAAGTTTAAATTAAGGTATGTTTTCACCAACTTGTCTTTCAATTTTGAAAAGCTAAATGTCCTGAACAAAGATCTCCAAGGATATGACTCCATCTTGTTTTCCTGCAAGGAGGCAATTAACGCATTTAATGAGAAACTAAAGCTGTTCTGGTAGAATATTGAGAGACAGGAGTTTTCACAGTTTCCTTCCTTAGCAAATATATCC